TATTAACGTGAATGGCGAAAGTGAAACGTGATTTATTGAAGTTGTGCATGTGTTACTGTTCAAAGTGGTAATTCGTCCAAGCCGATAATATCGCGGATTTACTGGATAATTACTGAACCTATTTATACCTAAGCCTTTGCATTGCTGTCTGCTTGTTTAAGTATACGTCATGTCTTTGACAGAAACACTTAGGGAGTGACACTGTTAACACCACCTGTTGCTTCTCTGAACTGAATAGCTAACTAGTTTCAGTCCATAGCTGTACGGACGGATTCTCACTCTGAATAGTAGAGCATGTATTCATATACTCCATCGTACGAACGCATACGTTGATTATGTATGCAGCTAATATATGTTGTATATATTATGTTTTTTACATATACTTTTAATCTTTATGAAGTATTGAATTTCGCAAGATGTGCTACATCCTCTGTACTCTTCGACTTAATCCCTCAATGAGTGTACACTTGTGCTTTAAAGGGTTCTCTGTCAGGCCGGATGTGATCCTAACGTCATCAATGCAAAATCGCAGACACCTCTGCTCATCGCTGTCGAACGCGGATGTCAGGCCGTAGTGCACTGTCTGCTTCGTCACGGTGCCAATCCACGACTGTGCAATGCCGAGGGTCGTATGTCGTTCGATATTTCTGCTGAAAATGCAGAAATTCACCATTCTCTTGACCAGCACTCTACTCCTGTTAGACGGTACAATGAAAGTACGCTTAGTCTCTCGTCAGAGCTTTCCAGCCCGTTGGTAAGGCGATTGTATTGCATTTCTGTTTATAAACTGTGCTACATAGTATTGTGTGTAATATGTCCATGTAGTTATTGAGTGCTCACGTACTTTAGCATAGAATATACACACCTCATACATATAACAGGCAACTAAATTTTAGTCAAATAGTGTATTCTGTATGTAGATAGATGCAAATGCAAAATTGCTGTCAAATCCTCATCGTTTCTAAGATACGTTGCAGGGTATTGTGCAGTACGTTTTATTATATTACAACGTATAGCCTATCAGCATGTTTGGTTTCGAATTGGCAGGTCTTTGTATAAAGCTGCACTACTTTGTGTATGTTACTTATTATTACCTTGAGGGAAGGGGGGTAATTGTTCTCTCTCTCGACGATACTTAAGGAAATAAAATGTTCTGATGTGCCTTATTTGCCAAAGTGAAATTTTTTATTACCTTCGTCTAGAACTTGATGGAACGATCACCTTCCATTGCTTCCACAGCGATCAGCGAACCGTCGACTTTCTTCAACGGCACTTTGCCCGATAGGGCGGAAGCAGCAACGGAAGACGATGAAGAAGCGGAAGAACGGCCATGGTATTGTCTGCTGTGGCCTCAGCCTCACCAGATGTACTTCCCTGCCGTCACGCATGGCGCCGCTTTTTCGTTACCTGAGCGGAAGCTTCGCATCTATTTCTACGCTCGCAGTGCCGTCCCCTGTTCTGAAATGATTTCGCTCTGGAGGACGTGCGAGACATATATTCCAAAAATACATGGCGTGCAGACGGAACTCGAGTTTGCCTACGACGTCACGGTTGCATTCCCTGACAAAGCCTATGGTGCGTTGTGGTGCGGCGTGTTCCCGCATCGGTTCAAGGAGCGGCATTCGTACAGCATTCGCGTTATGCCGAACAATGTTGAACTCATGGCCGCTGATATGCTTGGTCTCAAGTACGCCATAAACACATTTCTGCAAGCAGTCAACCTTTGTGCCACCTCGTCGTCCTCTTCATCACCGCTTCAGAATCATTCGACCTCTGTGCCGATGCCCGTGCAGCTGCCGTGTCTGAAAATCAACGACTGGCCAGATTTTACCGTTAGGGCAGTGCTTCTCGAATTCACCGGCTGTCGTGTGTTCAACTTGGACACTCTGCGACTGTTGTGCAGTCAGATGAGTTACCTGAAGTGCAGCCATTTGATCATTAGCTTCGAGGTGCGTGTGCAAGACAAGTTCTCGCTGCCGTACTCATCAAAAGACCTCTTCCAACTGAAGCAGTACTGTAGGTCGCTGACTCTCGAAGTTATCCCGTCGTTGGACATCAATTCTCGTGATGTCGACACTTCGGTCGCTTTCACTATCTTGTCCGAATTTTTGGAAAAGTTCGCTGGTATGTTTAGCGGTTATCATTGGAATTCATTTCGTTCTAGTTGCAGTTAGATGTAGTTCGACCTTTTTGTAGCCTCAATAGCCTATTGTTAAGAAATAAGCAGTCCCGGATGGGGATTGCTGAACTTGTTAAACTTCAAAACTGCTTCTTGGTAGCCGTCACATGGCTGTCAGAATTATCAGTAGACTTGTAATTTTGACTGATCCATGCAGAGTCGAACAGCAAGGTTTGCGATCGTTTACCGTTCGTTCAATTTGATTGGTGGAGCAACAGCTTCACTTCTTAAACAGTAATGGAAAAAGTAAAGTTTGTAATCGTTTAGTGTCCGTCTTTGCAGTTTCATGATGAAGCCATTTTTCGCATCCTTCATTTCATGAGTTTTATGGAGGAATGCGAATGTCCGTTTACATGCGATTAGCTAGGAATGCTTTTTTAGGGCAGAGCCAACAGTGTGTGTGCTCCTTTATGTCATTCCCACAGAGTGGTTCTCATTTATCAATTTATCAACCTCAGAAGGAATAGAGGCTGAGTGACCGGGGAACCTGTAGATTCTGTGGCTAACGCCGTACCGAGTAAATGACTCGTCTGAAGCAACATGTAGTAAATTACTTACTCAAGAGAATTCGTAGTAAAAGCAAGGATGGCCTTGTGCCAGAATCAAACCCCGCACCTTCGATCTTCGATGCCGACCCTTTAGACACTATGCTACTACTTCTCAGGACTTTAATGCTTTCTTCCATATCTTCCGCCACACTAGCTTGTGCCCAGCTAAAGGTAAAGGCCCTTATGCCGCAAAAATTGTTTTTTTATGGAAATTATGCAAGTAATCTGACTTCAATGCAAAATGAGCACGAAATAGCTTTGTCCTATAAATAATGTCTCTTGTGGGCATACATCCTCATTCGAACTAGACGTTGGGAAGAGTAGGTTGTATTCGTTTAACTAATTGTATTAGCATTGTCTCTTCACTCCTGCCAATCAAATTAACATGTATTAACCGAAACACGATAAAACAGGAGGCCATCCTGCACACTGAATAAACAGTTCAATGACCGATCTGCTTTCGAAGAGAAATTATGCATGTGGCAACGCCGCATCGTCTCCCCCTTAAAACGACCCCTGAAATTCTAGGTTAAGCAGTTTTATACTTGTCAGGTCAGGCGTTACAAATCTGGACAGCTCGAATGTTGTTTTATTCTCCTTCGTGATACTTGAATTGTGATAAGCTACTGAAAACCTAACAG